AAGTTGTACACCTCCCAGCCATGCCCATATAAGTACTTGTGCTTGCTTCAGGTGGGTAGCAACTGCAGCCAAAGAGATCTGAAGGAAGGGGAGAAAGGGAGAGACAAAAACACTTACTCGGGTATGAGATGAGATGAAGGCACAACTCAAGTCTGCGAGGTCTTGCCTGACAAGTTTAATTTCTGCTCTGTTTCTCGGAAAGTAACAGAGGAACCAGGAGTTCTAGTATCAAATAACTGCACAGTTTAAACACTCTGCCCAGAAGCCACAAAGAAGACATTTTGCTCATCCTGCCAGGAACGTTAGTTTTTCTCCATTGTTGCAACCTGATTTAACAGAAACTGACAGAGCCTGTCGCCCAGGTGGGGATTAGAAGGGAATAACTGGCAGGTTAGTGCAGACCAGAAGCAGTGAGGAGACATCCACATGCTGTTGTTCTGGGCACAGCTGTGAGTTGCTGCTGTCACTTGTGGAGGATGTCACGGGGAAGGTTAGTAAAGACTGTGTATCCCCGCTCACCCAGATTCTGTTAACTGAAATGTTGTACAACTCCGTGGCTACAACTATAGCCCACTTTCTGAACAGAACTCAGGCAGTATAAATGTGGTTTCCAGGCAGCATTTGCATCTGGTTTCTGAGGAGACCAAGGCCAACTTCAGGCCCTTCCGCTGACACCTACAAATTGTGCCACATAGGCACCATGTTAAAATTCCCCACCATATTGCACAGCAATGTTACATTTCGGGGTTCTTCAGGGCATTGAGTTTGATGGAATATGGCAGCTTCCCCACTTGAGAAAGGCATGTGTCAAACCAGGGCGGAGACAATCTGCCCATTGTCTAAATGGGTTGGTGCTGGATGAGGCAGAGATGCATCAGCAAGGCTGTTACACCCATGCAACACCCTGTAGTGTGTTGTTGTGTATATACTTTGCTGTTTCGTATGTGCAAGTTCACTTAGACAGTCTCAGCAGGGTTGCATGAAAGGATGGTCATCACAGAGCAAGACACAGAGCAAGTGTTCCTATCACTCCGAACACCATGTTTTTCGGCAGCATCAGTTCACACATTCAGCTTCAGGTCGTCGTGCATACAGTGTGCAAGCAATATAGAGTGTACGTGAATTCCCACTTATTGCACAGGTATCTTATTCAAAAAAGCTGGATTGTACTGGCAGAAAGAAGGATGGTTTCCCCTGAAATACAAGCCAATTTACAGCACGAGTGAACAGACTTCAAGCTTGCCAGATTAATTTTGATTTTGTCCTGCTTTTTATTAGAACCCCAACAGCCACTAAACCAGAATCAGTTGGAAAAGACACAAATTTTCGACTTAAAGAACTGTATCGATGCATATTCTGAGCTCATCAGTTTTCCAGCACTAGAACTGAACTGAATTTTCCTCCAGCTTTCTTCATTTTAGGTGAAAAAGCATTGCTAAAACGATTAAGCCAGAAGGAAACCCAGGATGATCTGCAAATCACTTGTAGATTTATCAATAGATCATGGTTTACCTTGTCCCCATTCCTTCCTTACCTTTCAAATTAAGAAAAACTACAATTCAGATTAGAAAGGCTATTTTAACATTTTAATAGAAATTGCTCCATCTTAATATTAATAGAAAAAGTACTGTTTTCTAAACAGTGTGCCCTGATGTGAACAACTTTGTTTTATTAGCACTTTCTAACTAGATTATACCCCCAAAGATACTTATTTCTAGTTCTTCTATTTCAAGTCTTCATCTTATCCCCATTTCATTTATATTAAGAGGCATCTCACAATTCCAAAATGGACTGTTATGCCTCCCAGTTCTTATTATGAATTTGCCAGAATATCCCCTTGATAATTATAATGCCCCATGCTTTTTAGCATCAACTCTTATCACTTGTAGTTTTGGGGAAAAAGGGCACTGTTTTCCTTTGCCTGCAAACATAGACTATTTCCCATCAGCAGTAGCAAAAGCAGCTTCAGGAAAAGCATAGCTCACAATATATATTTATATTGATTTCAGCTGAACAGTCAACTCCCAGTCTTACCATCTGAAGAGGGGGAAAAAGCAAAGTACTAAGCAAATCAATATACTAGCTTTGGATAGAAGCTGGAAGAAAAAACTTTTAATTAGTCTCTTTTTAAAGAGAGGCACACCGAGATGGGAGCTGGCACTCTGAAATAGTGTTACACTTTTCATTATTTAATTAGTGGAGTTCCCAACAAGCAGATTGAAGGTAGGTGTATTTATTCTTCTTCTCAAAATGTGCAATTAATCATGACTTTTAACTTGCACATTAGCAGCTCCAAATGGGTTGCAAGAAAGAGGATCTGAAGTTGGTAATACTAATGTTGGCATCAGTTTAAAATGTATCTTCCATTCTGCAGTGTCCAGTTACTTAGTGCCTGAGAGAAGCAAGTACCAAAAATGTGTTTCTCATCTTCCTGCCCCCGGAAATCCCACTGAACCACCTATCTGGCTTCTGCCATTTCTCACACATCTTTGCAAGCCTAAGAGCTAAATATTTGCTGCATGTCAAGCCCAAGATTGGTGCTAAGCTAAATTCTGCAGCTAACATGACTGATTTTTCTGTGTTCCAGCAGAATTGCGGTATAAGCTCTTTTTCATTTGAAATTGCAGGCTTAGTGTTTTCTTAATGGTTGTTACTTGACCTGAATGTAAGGGATTGAAATGTAAAAAATCAAACTCTGATTAGCTTCATCATTGTAGCTTTATCATGCCATTTCCTCAGGCGGAGATGAAATCCGAAAGTCCTGCCCACCTTCACTCTGCTTATGTTACTCATCTTACCAGTCATCTCATGTTCTGCTACACCATGTCCAATCTCTAGTAAATCAAATTCAATTCACATCAGAAAGCTGGCAGAATGGCGAGAAAGCAGCTCGATATTGGAAGCTTTACTCCTCAGCTCCCTTTGATCCCAGCTCGATCCTTTTGCCATGCTGCAGGGATTAGCAGCTCACAAGACGACATGAAAATGTTCCAGCAGGTCAGGGGAATGAGAACGGGCTGTGGGGAGGGGGCGGCAAGAACTTGGGAAGAACTCCCCAAAACCCCACCCTCTGCTTTAAGTCAGGAATCAAGTCACTTAAAACAGTGCCAGCCACTAAGTGAGCACCTATTATTCTTCCTGCATTCACCCATTTCTGAATGCTGGATCCCTTTGGTCAATGACAATTCTTAGGGAGAAAGATCTCCTAAACAGCAAGAACTTACCTCCCCATCATTGTATTCAAGGAGGCTGATGTCACCACTTGAAAATGATTGTGTAGGTCACAGTACCTCCATACTTTATGCTACCACAAGTGCCGTGGGTAGCTGTTGTTTTAGGGGGCTTCCAAAAGCAAGCATCATACAGCATGAAAAACACAGAAGCATGGCTTCCCAATGCACATAAACCTAAGTTTGTAAACTAGTGGAAGCATATTCTCACTGTTTGCAAAAATATTGGCACTTCCCCTTGTAAACTCAGTGGCTGCCTCAAGTTTGGAGTCTTTCGCTATTGCTTCCAGAATTTTGTAAGTACCAGGATGCAGGGGGTAATGTCTAGAGAACCTTCAGGACTTTCATACCCAGATTTCATTTGTCAGGAATGGAAATTCAGTCCTTAATGGTTTTGATGAAGAAGCAAAGAGCTATGCAGAGCAACCGTAACTTTGCACTTAGAGATGACTATTCAAACTGGTGTGCAGGATTCAGCTTTTTCTGGGGCAGAATTTGGATTAACTTTGGTGCACGATTATGGTGCACGGTGTCAGTGTAGTACAGTCTCTGTGTGCCTGCAACTGTATGGTCATTCAGTTTTAACATGGGATAGTGGATAAAAGTGAACAAAATGCCTTTAAGGCCTTTGTCCCAGTAGAATAACCTTTGATAGTACTTTTCCACATACAGCTTCTGGACCATACAGGTTGGCAGCACATCAGTGGATGAGTTAATGTTCAACCAAAGGAAGCAAGGTATGGACTGGCACAGTCATTGTATTATTCTGTAGATGTGCATCCTTCTGAAGCAGTAACACAAACATGCTCAGTTCTTTGTTTTTTTCCAGGCCTCAGAAGAGCCAGTCTTTGTCCTCAAGTGCCCAGGGCTGAGCCTTAGAATACCAAGTGAATGCCTCAGAGAGAGGATGTTTCAAGCTGCTTTTCTTTTGCTGATGAAGCAAGCCAGCCTAACCAAACTATAAGGATTAAAGGGCAGAAACTCCCAGGTAGGTGTGACCTTGGCCGCCACTGCAGTGAATCACTCCCCTGTTCCCTTAAGCATTTCAGAACGGTCCTTCCTTTTTCTTAGGAAGAGACATTATTAGGATTGGTGCAAAGGTTATAAACTGTTGTTTGTTGAATTAAAGTAACCCAGGCTGCCAGTGTATTTTAGGGCTGTCCAGTTCCTCCACTTCAGGAGAAAGATTTACTGTTAAGAGCAGCTATGCGAAGATTAACATTCAAACAGCCCCACAACTGCTTCATATTCTTAAAGGTCCATTCTCGCCCCCCTACTACTATGTTAACCTTCTTTAATCTCAACTTAAAACAGGCCATTACATTGAAAATAAATTTGCTCAGCAGCAAAACTTCAATATTGACTTTTTGAAGGATCAAAGGAAGTATAAAATAAGAAACTTACAATTTAACACACAAAAGCTAACATTTAGAAGACTATTTCTTCAGTTTCGCTCTTGACCCACTCTCATCTCATACAACTCAAACTAACCTTGAAAAATTAAGTGTACTCTCAGCTTGGAGTCCTGTGGATTAAATTTGTGGATGCCAAGCTAATCAATTAAAAAAAAAGATGTAACTTCCCAATTTGAACAGTGCACTTCTAGTCAATTCTTTCTGAAACCCTTCCATGACATCTTTGGGTCAACCATAGATCCCCTACTGCATTAAACCTATGCTCATGTAACTGAATTTGGCTATCTCCTCCATGTAGAAATTTACTTGTCTTTCAGAAGCTAATGTAAAAACAAAAATAATAAGTTCATTTGCATTGCAAGTTTGGGTTTGAGTTTTTATTTGTTTTTTCGCTTTGGTCTATACAAAAAAATCCCTTAGAGAAATAATAATAAAATTTTCTGAAGTATATTTGCAGCTACATCGATCCCTTTTCCAGTGGAAGCCTCAAGCCATCACATTGAGAGAGCCGCTTTTAAAAATGCATTAGAAGGAACAAGAGGGGAAGGGAGAAGAGAACATGCCAATCACCAGGAAAGTTGGGGGAGGGAAGAAAAGGAAGGGCTTAGGTTAAAAATGTGCAAGAGGTCGTCAGTAGAAGGAGAGTTTTCTTAGAATTGTTAGTTACTCCACTTTGTAGGTTTAAGGGATTCTTCAACTGAGGTGCCAAAGCCCACCGCCACATCTGCTGAAGGTTAAAAAAATGAAGCTGAGAAATGCAAAGCTGTTCCTTTCTTGGCAAACTCACACCCATCAGCTGTTCTTTATTTTTAAAAAAAATCCTCAAAGGCAAAAGAAAAAATAGCAACGTTTCCATTTTGCACACTTCCCAATTGACAAGCGTTAGAAGTGCAATCAGAGAAAGAAAAATCTGTCAATATACAACACAGAAAAATGTGTGTGCATTTGAAAAATACTCTGGTGAGGATCCAATGGCAGTTTGACAATGTTGTCCAGATTTGCAGAAAAACTGGTGCGGGGCAGGAGGAGGATAGGCTGATTAAAAGTGGGTGCGTGGTGGTGGTGCAGGGGAGGATCTTGTGGACTGCTAGTAAAAAGTTATCACAAGGTTGTTAGGAGCAGTCCAACGATGGGGTGGAGGTCTTTCCTTTTGCCCACAAGAGGGAAAAATGGTTTTGCTTTAGAAAATAGAACCTCCTTGCAGTGAAAGGAAGAGTTTGTCATCATCTTTCTCAGGCACTTCTGTCTCCCAAGTGCCCATGGTTGAGCACTGGGGCTGCCCTCTTCTGTGTTAAGAAAACATCTGTGGAATAAGAACAAGGGAGATGGGTGTTAGATTTGCAGGATTCGGAAAATGCGAGAAATTCTAAAGAGAGAGTTCCCTTTGGGGACAGGATGCTGCTTTTTACCAGAGCAGACATTAGTCCATCGAACCCAGTACAGTTTGCTCAAACTGGCAGCAGCTGCCCAGGATCCCCTCCTAGTACCTGTCAGGGGAATAACCAGCACTTGCAAAGAAGTGCTAGATCACTGCACAGAACCATCTTCTCCTCACCCATTTCTGTTCAGTCAGCAACACAGTAGTGCAGTCCCCCTATTCAGTGGGTCTAGATAGCCCCTTTATTTTAGGGACAGGCAAGTTTCTAGACCTCATGCACAGCTTTTGCACTTTTGCATTTTAAAATGGCAATCCCACCAAGATATTCTTGTTCTGCTTGTGACAAACATCTAATTTTGTCTAGGCCAAGGATGGGCAGAAATCAATCTGGATCTACTAGGAGGCTCACTAGGATTTCTGCCTCCCAATTATTTAAGAACAGCAGTAATAAAATGACTCCCCTGCCAACCTTACGTTACGGTGCTGAAATGAAAAAGGCTTAGATCAACCAGGAATGGAATTCCATATAGAAGGACGGTGACTGTGAGCTCCATTCACTTCTGGTATTCAAAAGTAATTCCTGGGCTCAGAATTCTTAATTTCAAATGTTTACCTCTGAACCGGGCTCTGGTTAGTGGAGATTGGGTTCCAGGAAAAAACTACGGAGAGTCTCACAAGTCTGCCTTCCCGCACCAAAAGTTAATCCACACGTGTCCCTCAATTCTACTTCAGAATTGTTATTGCCTTTTAACACTTCTGTATAGAACAGAGTGTTCTTTTGGAATGGAAAGCAGGACTACATTTTTCAGGTAAATGAGCAGGCAAAGAGTGCACATACCCAACAAGTGTATGGAACTTTTAATTTGATTAACTGGCCGGTTCCGAACTTCATTCCAAAATGCCCTTACCTTGAGCCCTGCCCAAGGGGGCGTGTTAAGCAAGCATGTGGTCCGTGTAGGGTGCCCGCACGCCGTCGCTGTACGCGTCCATGCCATAGTCACCGTCCATCTCCATGTGCACGTCCATGGGGTCCATGGGAATTTCGCCCGAGTACATGCCGCGATAACCGGCATCTAGCTCCACTGCAGCGTAAGAGGGAGACAGGAGAACATGGGCTCATGCTGGGCGAAATGGGGCAGGAGAGGCGAGGCTGCTCACCTACAAAGAGATTGCTAAGAATGTCCACACAACAGGCTCTCCAGGGCAACACCCTCTTAACTATGGGCACATCCACACCATTTGCTCCAGCTTGCGCTGTACAGAAATGTTAATAGGCATCACTAATATGTGCCAGGCTAAGTCACTTGCATTCTAAGCCTCTGGCATACCGCTAAAATGGACTTAATGGTCACAGTGCTTCCCTCCCCATCCAGCCTAGCAGGCGCTCCTGTAATGAACAGAGCAGCAGGGGGTGGGAATGAGAGCAAGATGACTTCATCTACATACTTAACCAACTATTTTATGTGACTGTTGAATCATCATGGTACGTTCCCACACCTTCACCTGGAGCCTGGGAAATAGCATTCCAGCTGGAGGGAGGTGATGTGAGCTCTAGAACAGGCAATTCAGTCTTCCGTCACTGACCACAGTCACATGGGAGCGGGAAAGCTGGAAGCTCGTACTTACCATCAGTGTATGGTTCATGAATAGGTATCATGCTCTGGGCCTGTGGAAGGAAGGCAGACAGGGTGTTCACACAGTATCGTAGCAGAAGCCTTGCAGAGGCTGTGAGGTAACCCAAGCCTGCCATAAGGGCTCACTTCTAAAGGATGCTTTCCAGGCCTTTTAAGCTTGGGTTTCCCATGGCAACCTTGAGGCAGCCATTTTGTTGACCAACAAGAGAACAGTCGACCCTCAGACCGCCAGTGGTCTGGAAACAGGATGGCTGTAGTCCAAGGCTCTGCAAAGCAAGCCTAAATACCTGATAAAAGGAGGTAAGAGGTATCCATTCTGCTAATTCCCTAGAAAAGTCTGTCTCAGGCTAGCGACTATCCCTGTCCACAGAGCTTATTGAGCGGGCTTGAAGACATGCTTGCCAAGCAACTGATTCAGAGTAGACCAAAGTCTGCATCTGGGCATAGTCAGTCCCTCACCTATCGAGTGGGTAGCTCCTCCGGTTATCTTCATCCTTTCCAGTTTGGTGGGCTGTCAGAAGTGTGACAGAGCCATGAAAAGAAGGTGCTTGGTGAGAGACACCTGCATGAACCCTCTTCTGCAGCATGGCAATGCAGCCTTGGCTGAGGAAGGTGAACTAGGGAGGGGGCACCCTGGGAAGCCACAGCAGCCAAGAGGGCTACGAGTTGCTTCCCCAGGTTTAAGGCAATGACATAAACACTCAGGGCCATGCAGGGAAGCAATGTTACACAGGTGTCTCCCCGTGTTTTCATATTCAGTGAAACGCAATTGCTGAGAGATGCCTATTTAACTGCAGTGATACTTGCAAGGAAGAAGGTAAGGCAGAAGGTGGATGCCTCATGTGCTTGCAGATCGTACTTCTAGATCGAGCACTAGTATTCAATTGCCAAATACTTTGGCACACCCTGATTTTCTTGAAACAACTTATCAATTTCAGCCAACTTCACTGGAAGATCATACATATTGCCATTCGAATTTCCTTGGAAGAGACAGTTCCCCGCTTCCACAGCTCCCTGATACTCACAGCTTCCCAAGCGGCAGGATCATGCTTGAAAAGTGAGTTGGTGAGTTCCACGGAGACACGCTTCCGATAGTCGGGGTTCTTGTCTTCAGAGATGCGGAACAGCACAGCTGCTGCGTATGTAGCTGAAGAAAGACCAAGAGACACTGTAAACAAAGATGCTCTCCCTGTTGGTCCCCATATGTTGGCAGCCACCTTGATGTCCTTGACGACTTCTTCTATACAAGTTTGGAGTCCGTTATTTCTCCTACTCATTTTAGGAGCCTCTGTACACTGCATCACTTTAGGCTGCAGTGGGAGAGATTACACATTTGAATGCGTCTTCATAGGGAAACACACACTCATAAACTTATCTTTTGCAAATGCTCTTCTTTATGGGCAAGAGGTCCCCCACTGCCAAGCTGGGAAGCATGCAAATGTGCAGCCTCTGGAGCATCTGCCCCTCCCCCCAATGAAGTACTACAGTGCAGCAAAAGTTTTAATACTTCACTCTGCAGTCTGTGTGAACTCCATATTGCACCTTCTCACACTTGCGGAGTCCCAGCCAAGGCTCGGGTAGCACACTTGCCCCAATCTATCCTTACTAGAAATACTTAATGCTTCTGAAAACTGTATTCACTATGTGCAACTATATCACATCAACAGCTTCCAGTTCTTTTGCAACTATTATCTTCAGACCCCTCCCTCACCTGTTTGCTTGGATAATGACTCCTAGCTGCTTGCCTTCAAGGGCATGACGGTATACTGTGTAGCACTTGGTATCTACTCGCCTAGTTCATGAAGTAATCCATTTTAATTTTTGCGTAACTTCTGGCTCTTTTGCTGCCACAGAGATGACTAACTCCATGTCATCAAGTACCACCCACCCTCTGTCCCTAACAAGACAAAGGAATAAAATAGGACCGAGTCTGAACCCTAGAGGGTTCCTCTGGTTATTTGTTTTTAACTTGGAACAATTAGTCTGCAAAAGCCTATCTTACGGATAGTCCATCTTACAGAATAATTCAAATATGGTAGAGATCCTCTCCATTTCCCTTTTGCAGAAAATAAACACTGTCAGTTTAGCATGACTTCAGCAAGTACCTGCTGCCTTCCGCCCCCTCCCCCTTTGCTAGACACACACACGGAATCCTTCGTCTGTTTCGTGAGAGGCTTTTTCAGCACCAGGGAATACAGCTCGTTGGAACAAGGCAGCACAAGAGCATGCAGTGCTCGGGCAGCCAAGCCCAGCGCTGCATGGGGAGGAGCAAGTGCAGGCAAGCCTGTGCCCACCTGTGCCTTCATTCCTGGAGTGCAGAAGCTCCATGAGTGGTGCTGAGGCGCCCTCTGCATCGATGGCATCGGCTGCCTCTTTATCCTGGGCCAGCTCACAGAGCACACCAGCTGCCACACGCTGGATGTTTTCGACTGGAGAGTACAGGAGCTGCAGTTGGGAAAAGCAAGCGGGGACAGAATAAGCAAGGAACAAGTTTAACTTCGTACTATTTCCCTCACCTCCTCTCACACCTTGGTCCACACAGAGTGCTCGGCTACTGCAGGTGCTCGAAAAACATTAAAATGTGTCATGGCGGCACTACCAGGGAGTGATGCAAACCGACAGGGGAGGTGTAGAAGAGAAGCAAGGCCCTGAGAATACTGGCAAAGCCGTCCAAGGAGCTGCTTGCTTCTCATTACTACATCCATCCCACTTTTATCCCGCCCCTTTTCAAGGCGCTTAAGATGGTATACCGAGGTGGTACCGATTATTTTATAATCACAACTGCCCTGCTTCATGGCCAAGAGGGGATTTTAATTAATTTCTCTCTGCTCCAAGTCTAATCCTCAACACTCCATTAACTCGACAAGAATCAGAGCACTCATTTCTAGCAACATGTCCTCCAGCATTCCTTCCCCACTCCTTTCAGTGGTCCTCACCTGCACAAAGAGAGGAATGGTGTTCAGGCGGAAGATTTCCATCCGGTTCATGGGGTCACGAGCCAAAATATGCAGTGCGCCTGTGCAGCCTTCCACAATCTCTTCCATCTTTACCCCATCCTGAAGAAGAGAGAGAGCTGCTAGGGACTGGATATGCAGTTCTGTCTATTTCTTGGTCTGCATCCCATACATTTAAGGGCATCGAGCTGAAGGCTGTGCTTAGGGTGACAAGCCCTCCAGAGCTTCTGAGCGAGAACTGCCTCAAAGCAGGAATCATCAAGAGCGGCTGGGATCCCGCTGCAGAACCAGCGCCCTTCCTCCCTCTCACCGTGTATGGCTGCTGCGTGCCAGCAGCTGCGTGGCGCTGGGCGTCTTGGTGAGCCTTCACGAGCAGCTGGACCAGGCGCGGGATGACGGCAGCTTCCTGCAGGGGAATGTGGTTGGCAGGGCACAAGGCCAGGTTACGGATGAGTCCAATGGTCGCCTGTTAGTAAGAAGGAGATGGTGCGCATTAAAAAACAGTGGCCAGAAGCTAAACCAGGAAGGTCTTCGAACTGACAGTATGGTTCTTGTCACTAGGCTGCCACAAGGAAGCACAAGCTGGCCCTGTATGCTGAATTAAAACCAAATGCAAAAGTGCTACAGGAAAGCTCCGTGGCATCTTGCTAGGAAACAAGAGCCCTGCTTCCTCATCTGCCTCTGGATCTCCCGTCACATAAACACTTCCAGAAGACTTCGGAACACTTCGTTCTCCTCCTGGGCATCCCTTGCCTTGTGGATGCTGTTATTTAATAATAGCTGCTAAACTCGTTATACAAGGGAAGCAGTAACAGCTCAAAGGATTTCACATTTACTGCTAAGTAATCTTTGCAATAAGTATGACTATTATTATTGACTAGAATTATCTATCATCTCCTAATTCTAGATGATTGCCTAAAACAGGGGGGTCCCTGAGCTTTTTTGGGTTGGTGTGCCAATCTGGGATATTGTGAGTGTTGTGGATGCTTTCACAAAATGGCTGCCATGATGGGTAGTTTTTCTTTTATAAAATGACTGTATGTTGGGCATGGCTGTCACAAAAAAAGCATTTTTACAAGACAAACTGGTGAGACTAAGAAAAAAGTGATTTTCCCAAGAAGCTAAGTATAAGAGGAAAAGACTGAAATCTAGAAGAAAAATTACTTTTCAACCCTATATAAAGATGATATTTGAGGGCAGCACTTTCCTTTGCAGCATGAAGCATTCGAGCTAAAAATATACTTTTAAATGTTAGTAAAATAAAAATCAGGAGTGACAGGGAGCTTGGTGGGCAGCACGAGGCATCTGCAGACACACTGCTGGCCATCGGTACCATGCTGAGAGAGAGAAAAGTGGCTGAGATGTGATTTGAAAGTAAAGATGCCTTGGCTAACAGCTCACGTACTTAGCCACTACATCACACCAGTCTACACAGATTGCCTTCAAGGTTTTCTAAAGGCTCAACACTGTTCCCCAGCACAGAAAGCCGAATTCCAGAACATGCTTAATGAATCCATCACAGCCCTCCTGAAAGGCAAGTTTTAAAAGGACTGCACCACTTTTAGCTCACAATCATAGGATATAATTTAAGGCTCCAACATACTAACTTAAACTCCCTTCCTGCAGGAAAGAGTAAGGGGACAAGCTACAGACTCTTCTCCCCGATAGGCTAGCATTCCACGGGGAGGGAGTTTTTGACTGGAGACGCATTCAGCCAGGTGCCAGCCACATGTGTGCTATGGGAAAGTCTATGCATCTTGATAGCCAGCAAAGCCCTGTCCTCCACCACAGTAAGACCACATTTTCCAGCACATACAGCTTTCCTCTATCTTACAACAAGCTACTTCTTGGAAGAAAATTTGGTAAGGCGAACCTGATGAGGAACACAAGAGAAAGGAAAGCAAGCCCACAAATGCTCAGCCATGGCCTCTCTCCACCCCTACCTTGATCAACGGCCACTGATTGGGCTGATTAAGCAGCTTCACGATAGCAGGAATGCCATAGTTGATCCGCACGGAGTTCTGGGCCATCTCAGCTTCTGGGTGCCGGCTAGTGAGGTGCCTGAGAGCACAGACCGCTGGTTCAGTGATGTCCTCTTTGTCTCCTGCTCGGAGGATGGTGTGTATCAGAGCCTCCACGCCATTCGACTGGGTCACCAGGGTCTTGTTCTTGCTATTGTTGCAGGTCAGGTTTGAGAGGGTGCCAGTGGCACAGGTCAGCACGTTGATATCATCTGAGCTCAGCTGGCTGACCAGGATCTTCAGCACACCGTCGAGACCCTCCTGCAGAAGTAACAGAGTATGAGGGGCAAGAGTTACACTCTCTCCAGACCCGAAGCTTGACCTCCTACATGTTTACAAGGTCAAATTGGAATGGCCCCTGAAGAATGTGCTTAGCCCTCAGCTGCTGATCCAGAAGCAGAGAGGCGCCAGGCGGGGGAAGCACCAGGGCTTGCCGTCAGCACACTGAGCCATCAGATGGAGCTGCACCACTCCACCCCGCCCCCTCCTCCTCAAAGAGGCCCTCCAACAAAGCCAGCTATTGTGGAGAGATTGACAGCAGTTGTACGAGTATATTGGGCACTACAGATAAAGGGTTCGTGGAAATCTGTTGCCCACCTGCTTTGTGGCCACATCTGAGAGGTTCCTCAGAGTCCATAGGCAGTTCTGCACAAGCCTTGGGCTGGAGCTAGTCAGGTGCTTTCCCAGAGCTTGCATGCCACCTGTCATTGGGGAAAAGCAGAAGATAAAACCATCATTATCCCTTTGTCTGGGTTACCTGGGACTGGCGAAATAAAATACCGTGCTGAAATGGGTATGTTCAAGCAATGTTAAACCACCACAACTAGCACTTTTGTTTTGTTGTTTTCCCTCCAGAAATGGGAGTCTGCTTTTCCTTCAGGGAAAAAAAATAACTGCATGAACTGGCAAGACAAGCTATTGCAGGCTAATGATGAAACCTGATAGCTGTAAGTAAAGTTTTGTAGATTGATATATAACACAACATATTCATCCTCATCTTCTTCACACCAACACATTAAAAAAGCAATTTTTAACAATCCTGTTTGGTAGACTACTACTTTACTAATGAAACAGGTGAGAGAGCCAAGGCTAAGGAAATGGATGCTAAATTTTAAATTAAATTACTTGCAATAACTAGGCATTTTTTACAAGGTAGAAGACACAGGTCCTGTCCATGGGCTTATGATCAATGCCCATGGCAAAGATGGATCTACAAACTCCGGATTCATATTCTAAGTGGAACATTCCATAAAACAACTAGGCAACTGACAATTTTGGACAATTAAAAGCAACAACTCAACTGATATATTCCAACAGCCTATTTTATGCCATCAAATGCCTGGAAATAAAGGAAAGTTTTGACTAGGCACCAAAAATAACTGTCTTTCATGTGACAGACATGTCTTGCCAGGGACAGCATTCTTTAATACAATCAGAATGAAAAAGTCCTCTTCCTTGTTGCGATCCTCCAAAACTCTCTTTGCGGAGGACCCCAGATATGAATTATAGAGGTGATCCCAAATCATGTAAGGCTTTATAGGTTAAGATCACCAACTTCAACTGGACTCAGAAATGTATAGGGAGCCACTGCAAATGGGTGAGTATCATGGCTGTGTTTTCTCATCCCTTTTAATCCATTTGGCTGCAAAATTTTGTAGGAGCTGCAGTTTCAGAACAATCTTCAAAGGCAGCCCAACATTGCATACAGTATTAATCAAATGGGAAATTACAAGAACACTGAATACTTAATGTATCCCTGCCCTGATGTGGGGGAAGCTGGGACACATGGCAAAGCTGATGGAAGCCACTGTGCCGCTGGAGCACTCTGAGTCTCAAGGAACAATGACAACACACGAAAACTCGCACACCAGCATGAGCCTCGTACTTTAGGGGATTACAGAGCCATCCAGAATGAGCTGACTACCATTTATCCAATCAGAACACATAACGGTTTGATCTAATCCAGCACCCTTTGTTGTTTTGTGTTGAATTGTATGTGTCTTTAAGTATTGGTACTATACTTTAAATTTTATTGCTTCTATGGCATTTATCTCTTAACTGTAATTAACTCAAATGAAATTGTTACTGAATGGAGTAGAAATGTCATTAACACTAATATTATCAGTATTACAGTAGAGATGGGCAATGTTTAGCAATGTTTTTCCCTACAGTGAAACTTTCCTCACTTTTTAAACAATGCATTGCATCCCATTGATGGCACTGCATAGTTGCAAGTGCCAATCTGGGGAGAAGAGGACAAATCATCAAGGCACAACACCACCTTCAACAACTGTTGCACATGATGCTCCAAGACAGCAGTGAGTAACCAAGAGCTACTGGGGGCAGCTGGTGTGCCCCCGTCAGACTGCACCCAAGGGCTCCCCTGCTGGGGCTACTCACCAGCTTCCACAATGGCTGGCTTGTTGCTGGGACAGACGGACAGGACCTTGAGGACACGGCTGGTAGTCCACAGCAGTTTCTCATATGTGTAACTGCGCATGATCTGGACAAGAGCCTGGGGGCCACTGTTGGCCAAAATGATGAGCTGAGAAAGCAAACACACAGAATGATATTTTCAGTGCACAGAAAAATGCATCTGACCATTTAAAAGCTCCCCTAGTGCTCAACGTGTATTTTCCTCTCAAACTCTGGCTTCAACCTCTACCCCATACCCTCAAATCATTGCCTTTTCTTGCTCCTTGCAAAATGCAAGTTAACAAAAACAGGGACTGATGCAACCCAAATTTCAAACATGACTGGGAATGGGTCAGTATATACACCTCACTGCAGTAACTGCTCACACTGAGGAAGGCTTGCTTTTATTTTATTTTGAGCAGATTCAAAGTCACCAAGAGAGTCACCTCCCACCAATGGAAGTGTTCAAGTTTAATGGCATGGCTATTTTCCCCTTACCTTGCTTTCTTGGTTCCCATATGCAAGCAACTGCAGGCAGTCAGTGGTGATGGCAAGGAACTTTGGGTTATTCTTGGTCAGCAGGGGGACCATCTTTTGAAGGCCATCTGCCAGACGCACAGCCATTTTGGCACCTTCCTGGTTCAGCAGCAGGTTGTGAAGGGTGGTGATGGCATAAAACAAGACCGACTCCACGGGAGAGCTATTTGCCAAAGGGTGGGAGGAAAATGAAGAAGACACAATTCCTGTTATTTCAGGAGAGGTAACAATTACATATACACAGAAATATGAATTAAAGCTAAGCTGAGCTACAACTTGAACACCTAAATGCACAGCTAAATCACACTTAAAACCATTTGGTTTAAGTTCTTCTCATCCTGTCCCCCAAGCCACCCTATATACAGATGCTAAATCTTGGGTAAACACCAGGTAAGTCTCTGTTCAGAGGAGGGCATTTTATAGTGATCTGATCAGGAGTGGGAATAGTAGCTGGGAATTATGGGAACTAAAGCCCAACCCATCTGGAAGGCACCAGTTTGGAGACCTCAGGTCTACACCAGTAAACTGGCAGCAGATCTTCAATGGCACAGGCAGAGGGCTGATACCAAGATGCTTTGACCCAGTCAGGAACCAAATGTGGAAATTTTTATGTACCAAACTGCTATGCTATGAAATTACAGCATTCTCTTATATGAGGTCAAGATAATGGCCCATCTAACCTATTATTCTTTCCGTGCTATCAAGCAGCCAGTCTTATCCAGCTGGCAACATAGAGAGAGGACAAGGATCCAAGCCATGTCCTGTTGCATACTTAGCATTTGACTGGGTATTTACACTGTGGTTGCATCCCATGTGTTTTCCTTCCCTGTAGACTCAGTAAAGAGCATCAGCAAGACGTTGAGGATGGGAGAGGTGGTAACTCATTCTTTTCAGTAAACTGCCAGCTCGATTGTGGGCCAGCCACTAAGAAATATTTTCTTTGTATTCTGTCCAGATCAGAGAAGGGGTTTCTTTTTTTGGAAATTACAGGACTTTTAAAACTGTAAGCAGTAGCAGCGAAGCCTGAGAAAGACTTTGTGAAGACATGCCAAGACCTGTCTTTCCAAAAATGAAGCTGGTGCCTCCATATTAAGAAAGCTGTTCAAGAGTTCCATTTTGTGCCAGTTGGGTGGGGACCTGGCGGATTGCCACTTCAGCTCAGCCACCTAGCTAGGTTCACAAAGGAAAGGAATAGCAGAACCTCCGTGAAAAGATGAGGAAAGAGTTGGCAGAACACTGCACAGCAATCTGTCTTGAAAACTGGGATGCCTGGGATTATTACACCTGAGCACTACATGCAAGAATTGCGGTGCGATTTAGAGTTAATCCACTCCTAGAACAGAATCTGCTAGTACTTTAAGCAAATGGTTTGAAGGGATCAAGTGTGTATTCTGTCATGTTCTTGACATCTTGCAAACCTGTTTCAAGTATGGTTTTAACAAGAGCCATGCAAATAAGCAGATGATGCGGAAAATCAAAAGGCCCCCTGCTCTGGATGCACTGTCCTGAAATCTCAGGTAGACAGATTGCTTCTAATTATTCACTGGTGGGTGGGGTAGACGGCATGCTCTACATGCAGGGGTCCAATAGCATCTGAAAACGTATTTCGGGCAGAATCCTGGCACAGGCTAAGTGCTGTAATCACAGCACACCCACGGAACCAAGTTCAACGGCTAATAAGCATGGCCAAACAAGGCAGTGAGCATGTGCAAAGACACTCCAAGGGGAATTTTCCCCATGTGCAAAGTGCTGCTTCCAGAAAAAATTGGCACCCTAGCACAATTTCAGTTTTAAACCTCACCTGGCAAGGTCACAGTGGGCCTGCTCGGCTGGGGATGTCCTCAGCACAAAGCAGGGCATGGGAGCCAATGCACAGCAACAGCTGGGACTGCACCGCTTCCAAGGACAATAAAGTCTGGTTGCAAATGCACCCCCGCTATGTGAGGTATGTCAGGGGCTGCAGGGTTACCTGAGCATGCGCACAAGAGCTGGGATGCCCCCAGACTTGAAGATGGAAAGCAGCCCTTCACGGTGGTGGGACAAGTTGTGCAGGATGCTGGTAGTGCAGCGGGCCGTATCGAGGTCGCTAGTGTTCTGCATGGTGCGCACCACAGCAGCGACAATCTGCGGGGACTGCATCAGAGCCCGGCGTGACGCCTCCTTCTTGGACAGTTGGTTCACAATCATGGCTGCTTTGCTGACGACCACCTGGAAGGGGTAAAGATCAGTGGTAAGCTACTCTGCTGGTATCGCAGCAGCCACCTTTCTATTATGTGCCGCTTGCTAGCTCATGCCAAGAGAAATGAAGTAGCCCATTATGTCCTCTGCACGAAACACGCGCCAGAATTCTGAAGAGCAGTCAACTTCTAGGCCCAGTTAATTTCTCCTACTTTACATAATTCCACCCACTTCTGTGACTCAGAGGGTGCTGATGTCCCACCCTTTGCCTTTTGAAGTCTTATCTGTCAAATCCTCTGCTTTCCATAATTCTACTAGAGATCCCTGGCACCCTGGAAAGCATATCTGCTAAGCACTTTAGTTGGGGGATGTAGTAGAATGGAAGAAAATCAACATTCTCTGTGATCAGTACTGCAATTCCTAACTCCTCTACTATTCCAGGGGATAACCGAAGTGCCAGCTATGCTCCAGGCCATACCGCACGGAGGAAGCCATTTCTAACAGATCACACAGACTTCCTGCAAGAGGACTCAAGGCACTGCCTTACCGGATCCTCATCATTCAAGAGTTTGGTGAGTTCAGGGATCGCGCGAGTGGCCAGCTCAGCGTCATCCTGGTAGTTGATGAGGTGCACAATGGCAGACTTGAGCATCTGAGAAGGCTCGGCCAGCCTCTGCACGTTTGTTTGCTGCCCTTCAACTTGGGTGGTGATGAGAAGGGAGCGATCCTCCACTGTCTCTGGATACATGGCAGCCCTGATGCGCTGGGCACGGGTCATGGCAAGCTGGGACTCCAATTCCGCTGCATAGAAGGTGGGTAGGACAGAATTAACACGGAGGAAATCCCAACCAGGATTTCAATCAGCCACATTGGGAGGCTCACGAAACTGTTCAGCTCTACAAGGTGCAGGAGACTTAACATGTGAGCAAAGAGATAAGGCAGGAGTTAATTAGCCAGTGCGATTAGGCAGTTGTAACACAAAGCTGCTTAATTAAAAACATGAAAGGGAAATGGGAAATGGGAACTGACTTGCATAAGGGCCTGGAAAAAATATATTCAGGCACTGGAGGCGGGGTCACTAAATTAATGTAGCAACTGAATTAGCACTCTGTGGTGGGAATCATAGTAAAACCATTCGCAGCCTCTACCTGCCCATTTTATTGTTTCTTTGCAGCATGCTAGAAAATAAAAGTTTTATCTTATATTTATCCCACTAAACAGGCAAACAAAAGGGGCCCTCCTCATTCCCTGCTCCTTTTACATGAGGTCTGAAATCACTTTGAAAAACTGCACATCTCTGTGATGATGCCAATCATCTGCAGTATTATTCTTCACAAGAGGGTCATTTCCACACTAATTCTGCTTTTTACCATATTCCCAAGGGAAGGTTGCAAAAGAGCAGAGCCCTTACACTGTCTTAAAAACGCACTCTTTGGACAAAAATTTTTATTTGCATTTCAGGTGGCCTGTTTCCATGCAGCAAGTCAAGAAATAGCATAAGAAAAATAAGCTTTTCCAGGTTTCTTATGGAAAGACCTTTTAAAGTCACTGCACAGTTCTTCACCAATTCCTGCTTGAAGGTAGTCATTCCATTTGTAGTGACCTATCTTACCCTACAAGACTACGGCTGATTTGGGATTTGAACCCTCTGTTTCATGAAAATGAGGGACAATTCTTATGGTAAAGGAGTAGTATAGTCACATCCCACACTGTTTTCCAAGAATGAAATGCTACCAGATCCTATGGGATGAGTCAACAAGCTTGCTTTCCACACCAACAGTGATGTGGTAACTAGCCATACGATCAGCAGGTTCTCCCGCATGATCTCATGAAGACTTAGCAGTCTGGTCAGTGCCTGAATTCAAAACTTCCTATATTATCCCATACAAACTTCCACCATGGAATAAAGGGAGAATGTAAACACAATACATATACATTTTTAAAATAAATTTACCTTGGGCCTGGGCCTGAACTTGGGCCTGCCCAGCTCCAGACTGGCTGTAAGTGGTGGTCTTCTTAATTGTGTACTGCTTGCCATAAACATCATCATCATCCACCAAGCACTTGCTGCTGACTGAAGGCACCTGGGTGTTAATTCCGGAATGGATGCCTGAGTCGTAGGTGTATGTTTGCTGCCATTCTGTCACCTTGATGGGTTGCTCTATCATATTCACCACCTCCATGGCTGCTCTGCAAGCACATTCAACAGGGTCAAAGCATAGCTGTGGCAAGTTAGATCAGTCCTCTCTAACCTGGTACCCTCCAAATGCATCGGCCTAAAACTTCTACAATCCCACAAGGAGCTGACTAAGTTACACCAACACTTGAACTTGCCCAATATTGAGCTTCAGACAATGAAGAAAATTGAAAGCTTCATGAAGCTTGAACATTTGCCTTGCTAATAGAGGATGCTATTTCCTGCCTTTCATGTGAAGCAGTTCAAATGAGTAACTCCCCATAACGGAAGGGATATCACACAGTCCTGAAGTCATTTTTGTCAAGCTCATGGACTCCAACACCCAGATAATTCCAGCTTCTTGAAAACAAGAGGCTTTGTTATAGCCTTCTCACAGCTCTGTCTCTGGGTCTAAACTGCTGCACCAAGCTGGCAGCGATACATGAATTCTAAATCACTTTGCATAATGGATGCAGAGTAAGAACTCCTGCTGACACCAGGTGCCAACTCCAAAACAATACCTTTTCAAGGATGACAGTTTACACAGTCCACTGAGCCTTGTTGCACATGTGACAACCAAATGCACAAGTGGACAGCATGGACATGTTCCCACCGGCATGCTTGCCTCTTCTACTTTTAAACAGCAAGCTTTGACTGACTTGCTCATAGATTGTTAATACAACATCCAAAGTTGGACACTTTGTGCTGTTTGTGAGTTAAACAACCCAAAATCATCCACATTTTGTCCTTAGGTAACTTTGGTTGCTAAATAACCCAAAGTATGCAGATTTGGTCCTCGTACTAATGATCGACCCAAAGGGTAGTTGAGAGTGGTTTTTGTAAACTGGAAGCAGCTCACCCACAACACATGTCCCTGTAAATCATGGGTTAATTAAATCAAATGCCACTGCAAAAGAGTGCTCAAGCAACAAGAGATCAAGTTACACACATGCATTCCAGAATGAGTCCATAGCAGCTGATTAGGCAACCTTTCATGGTTGCTTTATAATGTACATAAAACCCTGTTCAAACTCTTTTTTCAAGGAGAATATGACAACACAAGTCCGCCTACCTGGTGGGCTCTGACAATTTTAGCACAGCACAGTTCAGGAAATACACCCACACAATGTCATTTTCAGCAACTTTTTCTTCAGAATGTATATCTATTTTAAAACACTCTGTGTGTTCCCCTTGTTTCCATTTTATTGTTTTTGTATGGAAAAGCAAAAAAAAAAAAAATTCTGGAAACAGCACAGCAACAGTTGATAATGTACTAGAACACTGCCTGCTGCCTCAATTTAGATTGCATGCTCTTAAGGGCAGAGACTGGTATTACATTTGTTATTGCCTTCTCTAAAAAAATCATGCAGTGATTGTGGCTACATGACTCAAATGAATTGTTTTAACTTGGTCATAACACCTTTTGATAGTATGGGTCAAAAGCCTACACAGAGGAGGATAGCTCTCCGTTTTTTCTGGCAATGAAACTCTTAACAGAGCTCTATTCCGGGCAAGAGAGAGAAAGTTGCCACATACAAGGTTATACCTCAAAGTCAAATCCCTGCAACTCCACGATTTTGAAGTTCATGCTGAGACATGAAGGCAGGCTGCAGGTAGAAAGGGCGGCTTCAGAAAGAAAAACACTGCGACTACCAAATATGAGATACACTGACTCCATAAAGGAAGCCAAAGCCTTGAACTTGAGAGGGCTGAATGGAGCTGTCATGGGCAGGACATTTTGGAGGGCTTTCACTGGTAGGGTCACCGCAAGTCAAAGATGGCTTGATGGCACACAAAACGAACAACACTACCCTCCAAGTGCACAGAGAGTGAGGAAGGGCAAGAGAGAAGGCAGAAATATATCTGAAAGGGGGCAGATGTAAGCTTGTGCACAAGGCACTGCTTTGCAAAACAGGAGGGGGAGTGGCGACTATCTGCCTTGGGGAAGGAGCTTAAATGTGGTTTCTTATTAAAGCAGAAAAACCTCAAGGCAGCCAAGAAAGGAAAGATGAGGTTTTGAAGGGCAGTATAGCAAAACACTTCCCAAAAGAAACTCATTCTAAGCCATCCTCAGAAAGCCTAAAAATAAATACATACCATTTCCAGCATGCACAAACACAGAGACACCTTAGGATGTGACTCTATTTGGCTGGATTTTGGAAACAAATGGCAAATGACTACTCCTGTCACCTGTCAGCCCCAGGTGTGTGTGTGGGGGGGGGGGGAGTGAGAGCACAAAGCACATGCTGGGATAGTATCAGCTTCTGCAGGTAAGGTCACCCTGGGGATAGAGGTCTGACAGGAGGCCTGCTTGGAAACCTGCTCCAGACCCCAGATCCACTGCCAAGATGTTTTCCTGGAGTGATTGTAGATGAAATCTACTAAGTTGCTCCACCACCACCTAAATATCAACCTTGACCAACGCAAAGATTAACTGTCCCACGTTAATCACCAAAATACCACCCTTGACCAACACAAAGATTAACTGTCCCATGTTAATTCCACAGAGCAGTAACTTGCAAGAAAGCAGTGATGCCAACAGTGACAATCAAGAACGACCAATTTAGAGGTGTTGGGATGTGTGTGTGCAATCCCACACACACACCCTGCCCCAAATCACCAAGTCATCTCTCCATAAGGACCTGAGGGTGACTGAGTCATGTGTGGGGGTTTGCACAGTGGAATTAACAGGCAAGCACAGTTTGGAGAATGCAGCAATTTTGTGGACAACTTTTAAAAGCAAAGGTGGGGGGGCTATGAACAGATGGAGCACAGTGCAGTTTCCTGTACAGTTCCTCATCCTTCACCCTCGGCTACCCTCCTACCCCTTTCCATGTCTCCTGAATAGGCCAGTAGACAATAACTGTCCTATGCATCATGTCTTTCTACAGCGCCCACAATCCACCACCACAAATGCACATCTGACAGTCCAAATCTTGGAAGTACAATCAATTGTGTGAAAACCCAATGCAATCCAACAAGAGATTTGTGCTCTTTCTTCCCTGGCTTTGGGGCTGCACACATAAGCCTTGCTCACAAGCCCGTGACTAGATGCCTGCAGTAACCATGCAGGGAAACTTTTAGATATAAATAGCAGCTAAGTTAATCACTGCTTTTATATTGCAAGTTTGGTGCAGCTTTCCACAGATGAACAGCCAAGGAACATTTGGGAGCCTATAGTTCTTTAAAAAGTAATGTGTCATTAATGTGACACAGAATGTAAAGAAAATGTTTACTTGCACATTGGACTCCTTTGTTAACACTCTGGAACAGTTCAGCAGGCCCTGAATGACCTTAATGGGGAATATACATACTTGAATACCACGAGAAGTATACCACGAGAAGTACACATGGAATCTCAGCATGCTTTCCCATATAGCTTACGTTTCGGGAGTGGTTTTTCTTCGCAAGAGCTTTCAAATATACAGCCCCCCACCATCTAACTAAAGTCAGTAGAGCTTTTAACACTTGATCCTGCTAACTGCACGAAGTAGTCCTAAGTAAAGAAACTCTAGAGAAATCCAGGTTAAGGGTCTGACACTGAGTTAAGTCTTCTCAGCCTCTCCCAAAGCAGCCTGGGAGCATTAGTGAGGCTTCTCAAGAGGAAAGTGCATCTCTCACACTGTTACAGCTCCTATCATCCTCAGTCAACACATTCAGTCTAACACATTTGGAAAGCACCAGGCTGGGTACGGCTGCGCAGCAAATAACCGTAAGTATGTTTGTGGTAGAGACTAGAGTATACTGACATCAAACCTGGTCAACCATCTAAGCACATCAGTAGAAGCAATGCTGCAATGCTAAAGCTGAGAGCTGTCCTGGTGTTAAAGCTTCTGTACCAACTGGCAACAAAGCATGTACTATTCAGGTGCTTTGGAGGAGCCTCCCTTCAAAAAGAGACTTAATGAGAGCATCAGACACACCCAAACTAGGAATGACAGTGAGTTGCCACCTCCTTTCCCTTCCCCAAGGAAGCCTGTCAGACAGGTTACTCCCTCCAGAATTAGGCAGACTGAAAGGTGACGGACAACATATTTCTAAGGAAAATTGCATTTCAGCTTAACGTTGCCTCAGCAGTAGCCAAGCAAGTCCATGCAGCACAGAGAAGAACATGTTGGACTCAAATTCCTACTTGGCCACAGAGTTCTCTGGGTGGCTTTTTGCCGCTCGTGCCTGAGCCAAAGGCTATTCATGTATCCAGCCCACATATACCTCTCCCAGTCCAACGCCAAAGCCCAGCTGACAAGTTACCCCCGTGATGCGCTTGCTGCCGCCATGCTGAATCACAGGGAAACCAAGTAGCCTGGGGAGCACTGCATGCACATGTATTAAGTGCCTCTGATGTGGGCGGGGCAGCTTTAATCAAGTCAGCAGAGCCATTCATTTTCAGGTAATTGTGCTGACAAAGCTAAAACCACCACACCCATAGGGAAACTGCTTCCCACATAGCTTAGTATGATGCTCTTGCTGTTACTGGTGGTGGTAATTTCACCCCAAAGGAAATGTGAGAACTGAGCTTGGTGCTCTGCTCGTAGGACTGAGCTAGCTCTTTCCTACTTCATGGTTTTAAAGACCTGCATAAAGAGTTGCGTTCTTTTACTGCAGGTAATTTTCTCCTTCCTCTGTACTGGAACCATATGGCAGCTAGTTAGCCAACTGAATCTGCCCCATAATAAATGAGCCCCTGGCAAAGTGATATGCAGAAACCATTACTTCTGAGTGTTACGCTATCTCTAAATGTGCACTGAGCACAAATTAATGGCATTGGAGGGTAGAGCTTGGAGTTTCTATTCAATTTGGAAAAAAACCTGCTCAGTTTTCAAAAAAGAAAAAATGCAAATAATTAGAATCTGGGAAAAAATATAGTCCAAACCCAATTGACTGTAAGTATTACACACCTACAGGTTTGAAGCATAGCATCCAGCATGTGGGGCAGTTTGGCATATAAAACATTTCTTTAAATAAAATTAGAGAGCTCATGATTTGAATTTATATTTTTCTTCTTCCAGACCCA